TGTTGCTGTTCTCATTCTTCCTCTGAGTTACGGATTGAACTCTGCAGTGTGGGCCTGCCAGAGCTGAGAGTCTTTAAGAGATGTAGGTGAAACTTTATATCCTGGTTGCAGTTACAATGTCTATCCAGGCAGTGGCGCTAAGTGCCACGCACACATGCAGTGAAACGATCGTGGCTCAGCTGCCAAAACAAACACCAGTGGGTATGTGGACGTCATGGCTTTCAGTGGGCACCAGTGCTGTTTCTTACTGGTTGTTGTGAGGAGCACAAGTGTGCTATCCTGCACGTAAACGACAGCTCACACCAGTCCCAGCATTCCATCATCAGCGGGCCGGCAGGTCTTAGTCATGCAGCCTGGCTAATCAAAACCCCAGCAGCAGCAGGAGGGAACATGAGACCTATTGCTCATAGTTTGCCCAGAGGTTGCTCATGGCTCTCAGTCAGCGGGAGTACTCATTACGAACCTGCCTTGCAGCCACACAGCCCCACAGCCCGGGTGCAGAAGCGACTTGCAGACTCAGGCGGAACAGGCTGTCGGCGTCCAGGGAGTAGAAGATTCCACCCCCGGAGAGCTATATGCAGTAAATCCAGAGCCACAGAACTGCATGGTCTCGGCAGCAGCACACCATGGCGAAAACAGGCTGCAGACAGAACCCTCACAGCTCCAGCTCAGCTCCTTGACCCGGGAGCAGAAGGCATGCACACCTCACACAGCAGCTGGCAGAATGTAGTGGCACTTTTGTAACATTTTAAACAGAGCAAGTGCCTCAGACTATGAGACAGCAGCTTCTTGGAAATTAGACAACAGATGGCACTTTGTAGACCAGAGGATCAGATATTCCTCTGCCACACAAAAGGATTGCCATTGGTTACACAAAACACTTCTAGAGCAGTAGGAGATATGGTAGTACTGCAGGCTGTGGTGATTCAGTCCTGTTTGAATTTGCATCTTTACTGCACTACAGTAACGTTTTAGAGAATGTGAATTAGTAAGCCAGTGTGGGCTTTGCGGAGAGTGATGGGGACCGGCGTTCTCTCCGCCCTGCGGGTGGCAGAGGGGTGCAGGTGCGAGGGGGGCGGGGGGGGGTTGGTGTGGTGCTCTGCTGGGCTGCCGACGTGCTAATTGCTGTGTTAATTACAGCTGCGCCCTGGACGGCGGGCGAGGTGGTTGGCCGCCCATCGGGCTTCCCGGCTCAGGCAGCAGATGACTCAGATTCTCCAGAGACGGAGAGCAGCCGCTCGGCCAGGCCGGTCGGATTAAATGCTCCCAGAAGTAATATCTAAATACCAAAAAATGGGGAAAATGTAAATAGTCTGTCCAATCTATTTCATATCTTTTCTTCCAACTCAGGGTTGCAGGAGAGCCAGAGCCTATTCTGGAAAGCAACAGGCACAAGGCAGGGTACACCCTGGACTGGGTGCCAGTCCATCGCAGGGCACACACAGACACACACACACCCACCCAAGGCCAGTTAACCCACCAGTATGTTTTTGGACTGTGGGAAGAAACCAGAGCACCTGGAGGAAACCTACGTAAACACATGGAGAACATGCAAACTCCACACAGACAGCACCCCAGGTCCAGAATTGAACCCAGGGCCCCAGCACTGCTAGACAGCAATGCTAACCACAAACACCAACATGGTGCCCATATGCAAATGATCAATTACTTTAATTGCATACTTGAGATATTTCTTCATATTGTATGCATTACTTTTGCATAATTAATTATGTTGGGGTGTGTCCTTAGTTGGGATGTAGTTTAACACCAATGCTCCAAAGAAAAAAAGTCAACATTTTTTTATGTCAGCTAAAAATAATTAGCATAAATTTCAATAAAGAAGTATCGATATCACAAACTGTCATTTTGAAATCTGAAAATAATTTGTTCCTGTGCGTAAAGTAAATAACCTTTAATGCGCCAAGCTTAAAAATTGAATCCATTAAAGGATTCAATCAGATCAATCAGATTAATCCACATCCTGCTTCTCTATTGAAAACCACTTACTGTTATTAGATTGCCCTAGGAGTTCCTGCTCGGAGGCTGTGCTTGCCATGCCTGGCTGTGTCTCTCATAATCCCACAGCAGAGAGGAGCGCTGCTGCGTTTCCCTGGAAACAGAGACCCCTTCTCTCCTCAGCAGCAGCTCCCTGCAGGCTCTTCAGCCGCCCGAACAGAGCTGTGGTACGAATCACATGACAGGGCAGTCCGGACACCGGGGTCGGTGTGAGTC